AATGTGTTGTTGGTCTGCTGGTGGAAGCCATGGATGTCCATGGCTGGCTTGGGGGGAAGGAGGTGAGGTAGCAAATAGCTACAGAGGTAGGAAAGTATTAAAGAAGAGCACATTTAGATTTTAGATTTTTAATTAGGTGGGTGTTGATGGTTACAAGTGCATTTTCAGATGGGTGCTAAATGGTTGCTGTGGCTTTTTGGGTAGCTACTAGGGTTTTAACAGGTGTTTTATAGGGTGTCACAGGGTGGTTGCAAGGCAGTTGTTATGGTGTTCAGAGAGTTTCTAGGTTGTTGCTAAGGTGTTTGGGATAGTTGCTTTGGTGATTATGGCTGTTTGGTAGGTGGATGTAAAGGAGTTCTACGTACATTCCAGCAGTATGTTTTGATATAATAACCTGTTTGGTGCAAAAATGGTGGGGATAGCTATATAACAACAAAAAAAATCCTATGATGAGACCTGCTAATCTTGGCTTTTTAGGTCAATAATCTGTGTGATTATTGGAGCAACACATAATACAAATAGCCAAAACATACAGGGAATTGTCATTTGTATCAAATGATTATCAATTTGTAAATAGGCAATATTTTACCTGTTGTTGGCCACAGGCAGAGCAATCTCAAACTTGGCTAGAAACTGAAAATACTGTTCCTCTGTCTGCTGAGTGAGCCCTGATCCTATAAACAGCATCTAAACAGCAGATATCATCACAGACCATACCACAGGAAGTCAAGAATTACCAACACACAAAACAACTAGGAGAGACAAAAGATTTTTCCAGTATTTAACTGCTTGTCGAAAATTTTTGCATTTGGTTCCTTAGTCTTACCCTAAGGTCGTTAGCTCGGATCACTCCATTTCTGGCTACAGAGCGAGAAGACTTGAGGTTCATAATCCTCTCCAGGCATTCAGATAGCCACACAGGACACAGAAAATAGATGGTACACAGACCATGGCTGGTGTCAGGGAAATGCAGCAGGGTCCCCGTCTCTATCAAGAAGCTGATGGCTGAATGTGGACACAATGGAAAAAGAGAAGAGCCATGTGCATGGTTTTCCTTCATTATTAATATTCACGTTTGCTGCTCTGGGAAAGAAGGGAAATTATTTTCCACATCAGCAGGTTGGGTTGTATTGAAGCCTGACAAAATCTAGAGGTAAATCCATCCCAGTTGGGGGTGGTATCTAACCCCAGCCTCCTTTTTGCATCCAAACATGAACACCTGCTACAAATGTAGGTACCTAAACACTAGGATTTTTGTTTTATTTTCAATATTAAGTATACAACCAGTAACTTAATTTTGGATGTTCAGTATAACAGAATAAAGAACACAGGGCAACTGGGACCATGAGCACACTGATGCAAAAGCATGTTCATAATTTAGCACCTTTGAGCATTTGTACGTTTTGACCAACACCTCGATGATAACCTGAATAATCATGGCCACTATCACGAGAGGGGGGGTGCTGCCAGGGCTGCAGCCCCTCAGTGGTTGCTGCAGGTGGTAGCATCTTGTAATCAGCAATAAAAAAAATTTTAAATTAAACATAAACAAATTAAAACTATTATAAATTGTTATAAATAATAAATTATAACATTTAGCTTAAACTGTAGTCTAGGAAAGGAGCAGGATCTTATGGCTCCATTCCTTTCGCAGAGACATTCAAAATAACAGCTCCTATTTCCACCCCCTGGTTTTCTCAAAAGAGTATCAAAGAATTTGTGACTGCAACAATTTTCTGGGAGAAGTGGTGCATTTTCTGACAGAGATGCAGGGGTGCCAAGATTTTTGGGCAGGACTGTAGAATACCCATAAAATCAGCACCACAGAGGGACCAAAGAGGGGATGAAGTCATACAGAGGACGGATCAAAAGCGGCTCACAGACAGAGCACAGTGCAGCCGCATCCGGTGTAAATGAGGGGTAAAAGATCTGTACTGATGGTGTTCTTCATCTGATTCTGATCCATGTGCATGGGGTCTGACCTCTGGCATCTCAGCTGAGATACTTTGTACTTATCCTTGCTTATACTTTTTTATAATTATATGACAAAAAATATAATTCAAGTTAATTTATTCTTTCTTACTTGCACTGGTTGAGTGGATAATAATTATTTCCATCACATCCTGATTCCACATTGTTACGTCCATGACAGCTGTCCCTGGTCCATCCACTCCCCCTGACAGCACTGCTGGCACCTCCACCCACTCACGTGTTCTCCGACGGACTGGTAGGCGAAGCACAGCTGTGCCCAATTAGCCTGGCTCTATTTAAGCCGGGCCTTAGCGTGCTTCGTCACCAGTCCGTTGTCTCTAATCATGTATTGTGGTCCCTGTAAAGTCTACCGTGATTAACCTCTGACTGTTCTGTCCTAGTATGCCTTGATTCCTCGGCATTGGGTGTCTCGACTCAGGCCCCACTGGTTTCTGCAGTGTTCCTCCTTTCCAGCCAGACGCCGGTTCTACCCTCCAGACCAGTGCAGCGACCAGCTTAGTTTTCCCTGCTGCTACACTGCTCTAGTGCCTTGCTTCTCCCTCGTCTCCCCAGCGCCCAGTGTCCTCTGCTCTGCCGGGTAGATGGTTTACCTCTCTGTGTGATAAACATCCGTTGTTATCTATCCCTTTGTGTGGTGCACATTGAGTTGTCTTCCATGCGGAGTTCACTCCATTACAATTAAGCAAGTGCCATTCACTCATTTTAAAAATGAGTTGTTCTGACTTCAGAACATGCACAGTTAAAACTCTCCAGAGATTATTCTTTTTTTGTAGTTTGAAGAAAACACTCATGATTGAGTTAAATCACTGTTTCTTTAATACATAAGTCATAGTTGCTTCTTTTCTTAATAATAAAAATAAAGCAAACCATGCAGAAGGTTAAGTTTTGACCCTACCCTCGTCCACTTCAAATTTAACAAAGTCACCGGGAGCAGCTTAACACAATGTCTTTGTACTGACTCAAGTGGCTCAAAGATGAGCATTTTATGTCAAATTAACAGGGTCGGGAGTGTTACTTTAAAATTGTATTGTATCCAATCACATTGTCTGTTAAAAATTTATTCAGTAACTTAATCCAAATATTACAACATTAAAGTACAGTAACTTGATTATTTTACTTTACTTTATTTTGTAAGACAAAAGAACAATATAACCTTAAGAAAATGAGAAACCTATTTGTTTAGTGTTAAAGATGTGTCCTCTGCTCATTGTACACTACAGGCAGTAGTAGTAGTATTACCAATTAAAGTACTAGACTAAAGAATGGTATCTTTTACAAAGCAAACATAAAATATTACCTTTTGCAAGGTAAACAGATGCTTTGGTTTAGAATATGGGTTAAGAACATCCTCAGAGCATTCACTGTGTTTTTAACAGATCAGATGATTTATGATTAGTTTTATCAAATGTTTGTCCAGCTATCCCTTTGTTTGTTATGCACAAATAATGCAGATTTAGATTAATAGTGGTAATGCACATTTAATTTAAATGTAGGCTACTTTTTCACACTTCACACTCAGATGCCTCCCTCTGTGGTTATGATTAGGTTGAGTTTAGATTCAAGTTATGGGAAACGCATCCCGACAAGGAAACAGAATTCCCTACATGAAGTGCAAAAATTAGCTACAGTTTCAATAGAGACCACAGTGGTGCTGTGAAACTTGTGAATCGTTGTAACGTGTGAGCATTTGCACAGTATTATACAGTTTTTTTACTGTACAATGTTAAAATTGTAATCCTGCTAATAATCCCCATTTTCACTAAATGCAGCTGTAGTCTGATTAAATATTTTTTCAGAATCAGAATCAAAATCAGAATCAGTGTTATTGGCCAGGCGTGTTGGACACATGAGTAATTTGACTCTGGTACAGTGGCTCTCAAAGTGACAACAACAGTGGTGTGTGTGCGTGTGTGGGTGTAAGTGAGAGAGGTGCACAGCCCCCCCCTCCTCTAAACAGAGACTGAAATGGAGAAAAATACAGCAAAGTAGGACGGTCCGCGTTAACCAGTGAGGTTATGACAGGTGACAGTTGAGGGAAGCATGGGGTGTACTGCTTGTTAGGTTCTGACAGTAGAAATGCAGCTACTGTATAATGTGCAGCTGGAACACCTGCATCCTCATCGACAGACCACTGTGCTCTGAATGAGATGTAGCTGCCTGCTAGTAGAGTTAGCTTGGTCAGATAATGAGTGTTCACATCTCTCAAAATGCTGGAACAAATTTCTAAATTGGCATTACTTGGATATAGTGACCATATATTTAAAAATGTCAAAACTTAATAACATGGAATAATACCAGTCCTAGGATGAAAATGATGCCAACTTTGAGCCTGGCTCTAAATTTCTGCCGTCAGGCTCTCGCCCAGCTGTCGCTGCATAGAGTAGATCTTTCCCCAGCTGTGGGCTGTGGCCTTGGCAGTCTCCTTCAGTCCCTGTCTCACACAGAGGGGTGGACTGGGTGATAGCACTCGGTTTCCATTGGCAATGAATGTGCAGCTGTCCCGACCCCAGGATTTGTCTCAGTATGTGCTTGGAGTGCTCAGTAGTGCAGCCGCACAGTTTGACCAAAGGGATTCACACATAGTCAGCAGCTTTTCCAGCACTCACAATGGTGAAGAATCATTTAAAATATTCCTGTTTCTAAAGTATAATAGGGATCAGCACTAAAATCTAATCAATTGTTCCGTAGACCATACTCTACTCCAGCGAAAACATAACACCTGCCATGGGTGAAGGTAAAGTGTGTTCTTGTACTTATGTATGTTCTTGTACAGTATGTCAAGGCTGGAAAATGCTCAAATACAGTATGTCAAGGCTGGAAAATGCTCTGTGCTTCACTGTTCACTCATTCACTTGTCTTTAGAAAAGTGGCTCTGTAGCTGATTTGTTACTAAATTGTGTTGTTCTGAACTAAGGTATCACTGTTTTGTTAGTCCAAATGTACCACACTACAGATTGCCCTTCTGTGAACCAGAGCCTGGATTGTCTGAGGTGTAAGGTCCCTGTCCTTCTGTGTCACCAGTGCTTCTGTGAATATCTGACATGCAGCTGCTGGTCAAGGAAAATACAGTCAATATGGGAACAGAAGCATCCTCAGCTTCCTCACTGAGCTGCTGAGGAACAGAGACAGTGCAAACATTCTCGTCAGCCCCTTCAGTAACAGGAACAGAGACGGTGTTGACCCACTTGGAGAGATTGACTGGAGTGGCATCGACTCGGTCAGGAATATTATCACTGTCTGCATCAGCATCCTTGCTGACCTGCTCAGATCAGAAATGGGTTTGACCCAATCATGTACAGAAACAGGTGTGGAGTTGGCCCGCTCAGGAACAGGATCACACACAGAGTTGATGTCCTCGTCAACCCACTTTAGAACAGGATCAGGGGCAGTGCCCTCACTGACCCACTTGGAGATTGGATCAGAGGCAGCGTCAACCCACTCAGGAATAGAGACAGGTTTGGGGTTGACTCACTTGGGGACAGGGACAGAGGCAGCACCGGCATCCTCACTTGCCCAGTTGGTCAGGAACAAAGGTGGCATGGGCAGAACTGACACCCCTGCCGACCTGTTTGGAACCTGAAGCAGTGGCAGAGTCAGCTGGACAGTGTGGCAGAACCTTAGACTCAAGATGGAACTGAGACTTTGGAAGTAGTTTATTGGGAGGTGAAGGCTGTGTCAGACAGACAGGTGGCTTGAGGACACAGAAGTAAGGTTCAGACTGCTGCTGCATGGTTGTAGCACTAGATGGAGACTGTGGGTGGTGGGCTGATCTGGGTCTGGAGGGCAGGACAGAGAAGTACTAGGACCTGATGCCATCAGGGCCCTGAAAAAAGTGCCAGACTGTGGATCAGGAAACAGGGATGGGCTGAACCAGTTATCCATTCGTAGAGCCTCTTTATGTAGCAGCTCAGGCATTGTGGTTGAGGGCTATGGTTTTGAGTATTATGTAATGAGTATTTAAAGTAACAATACACAACTTTTTTACATTAAAATAATAACCTCAAAATCATTTTGAATGTAGACCAACGCCTAATAAGGTGAATGGCATCTCTGCCTGGACTGTCTGTTATTGCACTATGTAACTTTGAGTGAGCGCCCCTGACACCTCTCGTGACATTTACGGCAACAGACCCTCCTGCTAGCTCAGTGTTCTATGATTCTTTCATACATGCAGTAACAAAACCCTGGGCCTTTATTGAGTTTTGATATTTTTTCAGGCCAGAAAGTAACCATTTAGATTGTGACCATGTGGTCTGTTTTCTCTCTATTAGCAGGCAGCTACATCTTGTTCAGAACACAGTAGTCTGTCAGTGAGGACTTTATAGCTGCATTTCCACTGTTGGAAATTTGCTCGGATGTTTTTGGAGCTGTGATGACCCACTGGTAGATCAAGTTTACTCTCTTTAGCAGGCAGCAACTTCCCTTTCAGATTGGAGTCAGAAAGGACGCTGGTGTTCCGGTGGCACATTGAGAGTACTGTGTCCTCCCATTCTCAGGAGTTGGGATATAAAGTTCAGACTTACTGCAATTGCGAACACAATGTGTAACAGGGCATGGACTAAAGCACACACCTAGCAGTATACAGTATCATAGGCACTGCCAGAGCCTAGCCACAGCCTGGGAGAAGTGAAAAGACAGAGCAAGAGACCAGACAAGGGTAAATATTGGACTCACTCAGTGTAAAGAGCCAAAAATAACCTTGTCAAGGTTACTGTTAATAGCTACTGTCCAAGCTGTAGAGCTCTGCTAACACCACCACAGCAGAGTGTACATCTCTGCTAATGTTATGTATGTACTGTATGTAACCCTGTCAGCATCATCCTGTCTCATGAGGATTTGTAGTTCTTTCCAGATGTAAAAACTCATCTACCTTAGTCCCCCCACATAAATACATTCATCTTATGTCAGAAAGCTTGGCCAGTCTGTCACTGTCACACCAAATAAGACTTTGAAGTTTGCAACCTAACAAACCCATCTCAGGTTTTACTAAATTACATTGCCCAGTGTACATTATGGGTGATATGAGCCCATATCACATCACCAACATTGTTTCATTCCATCACACACATCAACATTCAAAAGCTTAGCAAACTATTTGAAAATACAAGCAGTACTTCAGTAAACATAATAAAACCTGCCTGAGTGTTTATCTTTAATGTAAAAATAAATCAATCTAAATAAATACATAAACCTATGCAGAGTCATTTGTATAAATATGACAGAGAATGCCCAACACTGCTAGTAAATTACAACTACAAGACAAATCAAACAAATAAGGTTCACATTTCAGGTGTTTGCTGAACAGTACCAGTCTGTAGGTCCTCATAGTCTCTGATGTCACTTTCTGGGTTCTGTTCAATGATGTGGTCCAACTGAGCATCAGTTAGGTATTGGACCTCTTCCTCATAATCTCGCCTCTGTTTCTCTGCTATCACTGCTTCCTGAAGTGTCAGATAGCTCCTGGGGATCTGGTGGAGAAGACAATGGTAAAAAGCAGTCTGTACCTCTGAATAAACTGGTCATTTTTGGCCAAATATTTCTAGGAACTAATCTTATGAATTACTGTCAAATGTCAGTACATTTTTGCCTTTCAACCACGTGATGGTCACAACAATATGCCATTGTTTGGTGACCTTTTTTTTTGGGTCATTTTCGATACATGAATGTCATTTATGATAATAATAATACAATATTCACTGTTTTTTTAAACTATTATGCTAACACCAAATGTTGAAACATAAGAGGGGTGGAAAGGGAAATTACGAATTCCAGCAATTCACAGTTTAAAAACCCCATGGCGTGCTTTTCTGTGTTTTCTGACTAATACAATGTTACAACAATGAATTATCATCTTAAACATGAGTGAAAGCTTAAAAAAATGAGGTGTACCTATGTTGTTGTAATCCTATGCAGAAGCAACTTGGTTTATACATGTCTCATGAACTACTCCAACTATGTAAAGTCTTACAGAGTAGTTCACAGATTTCCTTGAACGGTTGTATTCTTCTGGCTGTACGTACGTGTTCATTCGAGTTTGCCTGACTTCCACCGGTGCCATTCTAAAAGCAGAATTTTTCAACTGCATGCAGTTTTGTGGATATATTTTACCACCTGCTGCTGCACTGTGCCCAGAGGATGTGGATAAAAATACAGGGCCTGAGGTTACTGTATGTTCGGGAATGTTCCTGTACCTGACCAGGTCTAACCCACAAGCAGCTGGCCAGTAAAGCCCCCTGGGGTGGTGAATGATCAGCTCATTAAAGCTGGATTCCCCCGGAGCACAGTACCTATTTGTTTTGACTGCTTGAGGCCAGTGTGTCTGCCACATGTGATGTGTTGTGGGTTGGCAAGAGGATTCTAATGATCCATTATGTTAATGGTGGTGCAAGGCTGTTGGAATTAATTTCACTACTTTGAGACTGGTTAGAGTGTTACAGATGTCTTATTTAATGATGTACTTTGTTGTGATGTCCACTTTCATATTCTGCCTCGAACATTTCAGCTAGGATTTGAGGTACTGTCACTGCCGAAAACTTAGCTTATTTGTCAATCTTTGTTTTTTATGTGTGGTCCTGGCTTCCTGACCAGTCTTGTGTCAAGAAATGTTCCCCTGTCACGATGTGTTCTAAACTTGGTTTCATGTAGTGGCCCCATCAGTGGTTGTGGTTAGGATAATGTTAGGATTCAGGTTAGAGGAAACAGATTTCGACAACACCGGCAACAGGAGTTGTGCGCGTTCAAAACCACTCTGTCATTTTCAGGAGGAGGCTCTTTGGTGTTATAATTATGAAATAATTACAGACTATTTGGAATTATGATGGGTGCCAAGCTAATCTAGAGGTACCCAAGATTAAACATTAGATGGCTGGAAATGAGCAAAATGAGCAGCCATGGGCACTTTAAGTTGTCAAAAATCAAGTTAGCCACATTGCCTCACTCACCAGTCTGCCCAGCAATTTATTTCCACAGGCTGCACTGCTGCTGTCTTTCATGGAGAGAGCTACTTGGTAGATTAGTTTCTTCAGCCCATCCAAACCCTCCAGAGTCTTACAAGACACTTCACTAAGTACCAAGAAACACAAACAGATACACTGTACAGACAAGCAGATGTTCTATAAGGCTGCTATAATGAAAGTTTCCACAAACCAACATAAAGCATACACAAAAAGTGCAGTCACTACTAATCAATAAACAAACAATAAAATGCAAAATATGTTTACTGTAGGTGCTTCAAAGTGATGTCGGGGTAGCCGGTGGCTCGAGCACCTGATGGAGATCGGCACAGGGCCAGAATATACGCTTTCAGCGTGGCCAGTCTCTCAGTGCGAAACTTGGCGTCGATGAGATCCAAATGTGTTCCCACAACCACCACTGCAGAGTTTGGTGCTCGTGCCTTTTTGCCACAACACACAATTTATAATTGAACAGTTAGTCAATATCAATCTAAATTTATTTATAAGCACATTTAAAAAACAGAAGTTGACCAAAGTGCTGTACATATGAGTAGAAAGAATAACACAAAATGTATCTAAAAAGTACTAAACAATCACAATAAAAACAGAGAATACAATAATACATTACCACTACCAAGACAGGAAAGACAGGGGACACAATCATCATGCCAGAGAAAACAGGTGAGTTTTCAAATGAGATTTGAAGACTTCCAAGGTTGGGGAAAATCTGATATTAAATGGAAGACTATTACATAGCTTAGGGCCAAGTATGGCAAAGGCCTGATCAGCTTTATATTTAAGTCTAGATCTGGGATTGACCAGGAGCATTTGATCAGCATATCTAAGGGACCTACAGGGAATGTGGAGCTTCAGGAGTTCAGCGAGGTAGGGTGGCTTAAAATCAATCCTAAAATGGATTGGGAGTTAAGTGAAATGATTTATGTATTGGAGAAATATGGTAAAATGTATGTTTTCCTGTTAAAAGCCTAGAAGCAGCGTTTAGGACAAGCTGAAGCCATGACAGTAAGGACTGATTAATTCCAGCATACAAGGAATTACAATAATCAAGTCAAGAGGTTATAAAAGTATGAATAAGTTTTTGAAATCAGAAGAAGAAAGGATGGGTTTGACTCTGGATAAAGTTCTGATTTGAAAGAAACAGGATTTGGCCACTTAGTTCATTTGTTTGGCAAACTTAAAATCACTATCATAAAGAATATGCAGGTTCCTAACAAAGGGTTTACTTAAAAGAACCAGTGGAGAAAAACAGCTCATAGAAGCATTCACAGGCCAAAAAGTCAATATTTAAGTTTTTTCTTTAGTGTAAGAAAATTTAGAGACATCCACTCTTTAATATCCTCTAGGCAAACTAATAAAAACTTTACAGAGCTCGCATTGTCATGTGATTTCATGGGGAGATAAAACTGAGTATTATCAGTGAAGTGATGAAAAGAAATACTGTATTTATTAAAGACAGGACCGAGGGAAAGCATCTATAAGGAAAACAGGACAGGGCCGAGAACAGAGGCCTGGGGCACTCCTGAGCTGAGGGCAGCTGAGGAAGACATAAAGCTACCCAAACTAATGGAAAAGCTTCTGTTCAACAAATAAGATTAAACCACTCGAGGACTGAACCTCTTAAGATTCAAATCAAGAAGGGAGTATCAAGTGATACTGACAGAGTGATACAGTGTCAGACATGGCACTAAGATCCAAGAGTACTAAAATGGCATTGTGCCATTAAAAGATCATTATGAATCTCAGTACTATGACAGTACTTTTGAAGCCAGACTGAAATTTCTCTAAGATAGTGTTATCATTAAGAAAAGGCTGCAGCTGAAGAAAAACTGTTTTCTCAAGAACCTTAGAAAGAACGGGTAACTTCAAGATAGGCCTAGAGTTAATAAAATATCAGGGTTGAGACTTTTTTTTTTCAGTAAAGGCTGAACAATAGAATGTTTACAACTGTCTGGGACTGATCCCTCTTCTAGGCAACAATTTAACAAGGTGAAGATACTAGGTCCAACAGTGTCAAAAGCCTCATTTAAAAAAATGGGAGATGGCAATATCAAGAGAAAACAATGTAGGCTTCAAGCCAGAAATAATCTTTCATAATTTTATAAGAAACCTAAGCTCAAACAGACAAAGAACTGAGGAGCATATGGGGGAGAAGAGGGATCGTAAGTAGGTAGAAGGATATGAGCTCTAATATCAGCAATTTTGGCAATAAAGAACTGTTGAAATATTTTACAAATGTCCAGGAAAATATTATAGTTAAAGGTATCAGGAGATTTGATAATAATAAAAAACCTCTAGGTCTATTCCTATTGTGCTAAATTATGTTAGAGAAATAACTTCAGCAGTTTTGACAGTTCTCTGTTACTCCACTAGACAATCTTTAAAAATGTTAAAAGATAGCTGCAGCTCATCCTTTTTATACCTGCTCTCCTAGTCACTCTTCTTAGAGAGCTGGTAATTTCACTGAGCCATGGTTCTGACTGTCTTAGGATGATTTAGGTTAAAAGGGGCAATGAAGTCCAATATACTACAAGAGATGGAAATGAACAAGTTGAACATGGAATCACCACTAAAACAGGAAGGAGGGTGTTCCAATGTGGAGAAGAGAGGGGTGTCTTCGAAGGCAGCACAGAACTGAGTCAGAGTACCAGAATTAAACACATGAGCATGATGTGCTTTAATAGCAAGCTTGGGGGTTTTACAATAAATGGTAATATTAAATACAACTGGACAATGATCAAGAGAAATAGGCATCACAAATAATGTTGGTTCTACATATACATTGATAAAGGGTAAGTGCAAATTGGCAGGATTTGGATGTAGACTGGTACTGATTCTGAGGACACATGGTTGAGATAGAAAGGGTGAAGAATAGTCAATCAGTTCAAAAAGAACATTTCTCAACACAAGATCGCAAACAAGCTAGGTCTTTCACCATTTATAATACAAGGTGAAAAGGTTCAGGGAATCTGGGGAAATCTCAGCATGTAAAGGCCAAGGGCAGAAAAAACACAGCTGAATGTGTGTGACCTTTGAGCTCTCAAGGAGGCACTGCATGAGAAACCCTCATGCTACCTTGGTGAATATACTGTAGCCTCATGGGTTCATGAGGACTTTGGAAAACAGCTGTCACTTAACACAGTGCACTGCTGTATCCAGAAATCCAACCTGAAACTCAAGTACACAAGGAGGAAGCTATACAGTAGGTCAATTCTCTGCAGAAGTTCTCTGTAGTCAAATAAGTCCACATTTCAGGCCTCATTTTGCACATGCGACAGCAGCATGGCTTCATACTGTATGTGTGCCTGCCTGCAGTCCAGATCTGCCTCCCATTGAAAATGTATGGTACATCATAAAGAGGAGAATCAGACAACGGTGACCACGGACTGTTGAGCAACAGCTCAAGTCTTTTAAACAGCAAGAATGGGCCAATATTCCACTTGCAAAACTGCAATAATTAGTATCCTCAGTTCCAAAATGATTAAAAAGTGTAATTAAAAGGAAAGGTGATGTAAAACCATGTCTCTGTCCCAACTTTGTTTGAGAATGCTGCAGGTATCAAATACTAAATTTGTTTATAATTCCAAAATGCAATTAATGATAATGACTTTTATTGGCCAAGTATGTTATAAACACAAAGAATCTGTCTCCGCTACAGAACCAAGGCAGCTATCTACAGCTGCAAATCTCACACACACACACACACACACACACACACCAAAGGCGGCGCTGTCCCTTCAAGGCGCTGCTCTGGCCATTGGGAGCAACTTGGGGTCCAGTGTCTTGCCCAAGGACACTTCAACATGTGGACTGGGGAGAACAGGAATCAAACTGCCAACCGCTCTGCCTCCTGACCACAGTCACCCCAATACATTGTCAGAATGCTACCTGGATCACAGTTGCTCCTACTTTCTGGGCAGCAGCCTTACCTGCAAGCCACTGCTGAAAGAGTTGGTCAATGAAAACACTGAAAACAGGGAATCTGGGGAAATCTCCGCGCGTAAAGGCCAAAGGCAAAAATAACTGGTGAATGTATGCGGACTTGTCTCCTTGCTGCAAGTAAACCAATCTCTTATTGAAAGATTCCAGTGACTTTGTTGCTTCTTTGAAAATTCTTTTGACATGGGTCAAGAGGAGGACAGAGAAGATTTCTGCAGCCCCTTCACACCCTGGACACAAACTGTTTGAATGTCTCCCCTCTTGGTGGCAATACAACACAGTATCATAATGTGATACAACGTTCATAAAGAATCTGATGGGTTTATCCTGTAGTTATGGTGGCAAAGGAAATTACTGGCATCTACATTCTAATTCTACCCTATTCTAGTTACCTTTAATGGTACAGTATGTCTAAATTCATATAACACCTTATATAGAGGCTAAAATGCAGGCTTTGAGGCCCCATGGAACACTGTATATCCTATTCTAAACAAGAGTCTGGAATGTTGCAGCTATTCCTGGCATATGATCAGTCACATATGACCACCTGTTGCATTTAACATATATAGATGGTGCAATCCTGCAGTCATGTTAAGCAAAAAGTACTAACAGGCACAGGGATGGGCACATTCATGCCAATATGGCAGATGTCCATCCTCATGTGTATTTGCATGCTGTAGCTCCATTGGTGGTAAGGATGGTGGTGCCATTGCTGTAGGGGCTGCTGTTAATTATAGAAATGGCTTCATCAAGACTGCCAGCCTTGAGGACAACAAGCACTGGTCTGAAGTTCCTCTTTTTGGAACACATCATGTCTGGCATACCACTGCCCAGGATGGCGAGTCCTACAAAGTTTCCATTTTCATAACCTTTAATGATGACATTTCTCCCATCCAGCAGCAGCTTGGCACCCTCATTCACCCCACTCTGGATCAAAGACTCCACCCCTGGCCTTGGCTTCAGGGGAGATCAGGGGACCAACACCTGCCCCCATGCTGACTACCTGCATTGACCCGTAGTAATTTGGAGTGCTGCACCAGCTCTGGGAGCCATTCAAGAGATATACCTACAAATATAGCAGTGGAGAGAGCCATGGAGTGCTGGTCAGCTGCACTGAAAGCAGCATCCAACAGCTAGTTAAGAGTGTTCTCTTTGCTGGCATCAGGCATCACCACACCATGGTTCTTAGCACCCATACTGGATGGCACTCTCTTCCAATTCTTGGAACCCAGCATAGATGTATTCTCCATTCTCTTTGTGGATCCCACAAAGCTGATAACTTTGATGGCTGGATGGTCACAGATGAAATTCACCACTGGCTGCTGGCAATCTGGCTGAATCTGAAGAATTTTGGCCAAGCGCTTAGTGCAACTTGGTACCTGCTCAGAGGGCTTCAACAGGTAGGTGTTGCTGCACACCATGCCAATATGGAACATCCATAGAGGAATCATAGCAAAGAAGTTAAATAAGGTGATGCCAGCACACACTCCACTGAGAAGGCAATCCGTGTAAGTGTCCATGTCCTTGGTATTGGAGGGCAAGGTTTCCCCCAGGATGAGAGATGTAATGTTGCAGGAGTGCTTGACCACCTGCAGTCCTCTAAATATACTGTTTCTCCCTCTGCATGAGCAAGAGTTTTGCCCTGCTCCAATGTGATTATTTTAGCCAGTTTTTAATGATGATGAGCTGTTAACACAGGAAGACTTGGTGCTGGCTGAGGATGGAGATCTCAAAACAGGAGTGGAAGGCTCTGGAACATGAGTCCACAGCTGGCAGCATTTCCTCCTGGGTAGCTTTGCAGTCAGCTATGCATGCATAAGACTTCCAGATATTTTTAACAAATATTAGGATCTTGTGTTCCATAATGAGGAAATGGTCCCTAGTGCAGTGGTGTGTTTCACTGATGTGTTTTAATTGTATTTGAAAAAAATAATGGCGGTCAGTGGCACAGACGAACAAGCTAATTGACAGATTAACCTTGAGTCGAGGCAATGCATTGTTGATTTTGGTCTCTGTATGGGGACTGTTGAAAAATACAGTTCATTCATTCTCTGACCCACTCAGAGCGGATCTGCAGAAGTCTGTGTGTGTGTGTGTGTGTGTGTGTGTGTGTGTGTGTGTGTGTCAGAGAGAGGGGGAGAGGGCTAAAGTTCACCTCTATATTGAGCAGCCATGTCTGCAAGTTGGCCACAGCTTCCTCTCCCAGGGCCAGGTTCCAGATTACCACATACAGGGCCTTATCAGTAAAGAAACACTGGTTCACTGTGGACATGCTGGCTTGGCCTCCGAGATCCCACACATTGAATATCACTGAGTCCTTCTGTGAAAGCAAAGGCAACTTTAAAGAAGGCACAGTAAAGTGAATATGTGGTGAGTCAGGAAAAAGACCATTCTAAGCTGACTCAGGTTTTTTTCTAAAATATGGAAGTCATTATTAATGATCCCCTCCTTGATTCTATTATATATTCCAACAGACAAATCCCTGTAAATAGTGTTTACTGGAACTACTACTATGTATGAAAAAATGTAACACAAGAAATTAATAGTTTACAGGAGAAATTTGACTTTGCAGGCCAAGCGTGTCATGGCCTTCCTAACATTTTAGAGAATAAACCGAAAGAGTTAGAAAGACATTGCCATAAGAATGGCTATTACAGTTATTAAAAATACTAAGTTTCTTAAATGAATGCAGAGAGGTAACATCAGACAAAATGTGATCCATTTGGTATGTTAGAATGGTTTGCTTTTGGCTACCAAAGATGAGGTTATATATATATATATATATATATACACACAGTTGACTTCTGCAAATGAATTATATCAAGTAATTAACACCTTTAAAAATGGAAAATCTCCTGGCCTAAATTGGATTTATAAAACTTTTTTTTTTAATGATTAAAGACCCCTTCTAATGGTCCTGGGTAACCTCAGTGGGAAGGACATCTTAATCACCCCTATTGAAGGGGGGTGTCTGCGCCTGCGGAAATCTACCACTAGCTCTTTGGTCTTCCCCGCATTGATCTGGAGGCAGTTTTGCAGACACCTGTCCACAAAGTCTTGGATCAGCTCCCTGTACTTCCTGTCTTCCTCATCTGTGATTATGCCAACAATGTCATCAGAGAACTTGCAGGTGACGGTTCTGTGAGCTATACATGAAGTCTGTAGTGTACGGGGTGAAGAGGAACAGTGCCAGGATGGTTCCCTGTGGGGCCCCTGTGCGGCAAACTACCAGGTCAGACACAGTCTTGTGCTCTCACATTCTGTGGTCAGTTGGTGTGGTAGTCCAGAATCCAGTTTGATAGCTAGAGTTTCCACCCTAGTGTGCTCCAAGTTATGCCTCAGAAGCCCTGGCTGTATGGTGTTAAAAGCAGGTGGAGAAATCAAATAACATTATCCTCACAGTGTTTCCACACTTCTCCAGGTGAGAGAGGACTCTGTGCCTCTTCATTGTCTTCATCAGGTACGACATCAGGGCCACCAGCCTGTAGCTGTTGAGGTCCTTGGGGTGCTGCATCTTCGGCGCTGGTACCACACAGGATGTTTTCCACAGCTGTGGTACTCTCCCCAGCCTCAGGCTGATGTTGAACATGTGTCCAACTATCCCAACACAGCTGATCTGCGCTGGACTTCAGGACCCTGGAGCTGATGCCAACCAGACCTGTAGCCTTGCTCACTTTGATCTCCCTAAACTTGTCTCTCACCTGGGCCGCTGAAAAGGCCAGATTGGAGCAGGGGGGCGGCGAGCTGGAGTGTGTCGGGGGGGTTACTAGCTACAAGTCATGGAGAAGGGGGTGGGTGTGGGAGAGGGGGCAGGACAAGTCACTGGGAGTGCAGAAGAGGTGGGCGTAGTGAGCCTGACTCTGTAAACAGCATGATGCTGCTCTCCTGGTACAGATGTCGAGTCAGTTCCGTCAGCTCATCCATCTTACTGGGGAGAGAGTGCACATTCCCCAGGATGACGGAGGGGAGCACAGGTCTGTGCAGTCTCTTCCTAGCCCTGCACAGAGCTCCCGCCCGTCTCCCACTTATCCTCCTCCTTATCTCGTTGGGAATGTCGGGCCGTACCGCTGTGTTATGGAGCTCTAACAGCTGGTCTCTCATGTACACAATAGGTTCTATGATTCTGTGTGGGATCTGGCACGGTTGTAAACAGAGAAACAGGGACCAGGCAATCTCTGCAGTTTAGGGTTCATAGTGCAAAACAAACAACAAAAACAGCAAAACAATCCAAATACTGAAAATACAAGAATAAAAAAACTGGAAAAGCTCAGTAGTGAGCCGGATCTGCTGCTGTAACAGGCCGCCACTTGTGTAGCGTCATCTTGATAGCTAGCTATGTTTTCCACTGTACAATAAGGGTCACAAAGAGCAGGTTAGAAACAGGTTTAGGTTGGGTGTTAGGAATTTAGTTCTGATGGTTAAGCTTAAGGTCAGGTGCTAGAGAATGCATTATGTCAATGAGTGTTCTAACAAAGATAGTACAAGTGTGTGTGTATATGTATGTATGTGTGTGAACTGAATATACAGAATACCCAAGCTCTGTGTTTGACTCACGCTGTTTTTCCCTCCGTTAGGTTTGTCCAGCTCCCACATGGAGGTCGAGATACTGCATTCTGCTGGGGTGAAGGGCAATACCCTACCAGTCTGTAGAGCTGCCAGAAGGGCTGTTTTCCCCTGCCTTGGTGGACCAATTAAAAGCATCTTCAGCATTTTACAAGGCTCTGCTTTTCGAAGTTGTGCTCGTAGGAAAGCCAGGACAGATACAGGACCTGAAAAACCATAGAGGCCCAAAAATTACAATACCAATCAACAAATCCTACAGACAGAAACCACCACTGAAACAAGCTGGTACATTGTTACATTTCCACAAGGACTGTACATTAGTTCAGTTGTGCTGCTGTAATCACTGGTTGCTTTGAAGAATAAGAATTAATGCAACACATATAATCAGGTAGGAAACATTCTACACATTTAAAATTACAGATAGACTAAATTGCCCAACTGTGCATAAAGTAAGAAACAGATCAAGAAACAGGAGCAGCCAAATATTCAGACAGGTTGGAAACACAGTAAACCTTCAGGTTAGACACACATGTACTTGGAAGATAAAACAAAGCTGAAAATATGACTGACGGTTGTGAAACATCCTATCTCAATTTGCAGACCCATTTCCTAATCCAACTTTGACCTGCTGTACCTACAGTAGCTGAGCATACAGTTTTCCTGATCAGAGAGGAATTGTTGGCAACTTTTCAGATGTGCTCACTTTCAGTCTAATCTCCAAATAAAGTGCTTTAGGCAGTCAAGATAAACTGACTACATGTGTTTCTTGACCTGTTTTTTACTTTATACTTTACTACTTTTCAGCCAAGCTTCAATTTGAAAAGTCAGTCGAGGATGTTTTTAAAGACAGTTAGACAAGTACCTTCTTTTCTTTTATCCTGGGGGACATTAGTAATATTGAGATTTTCAGCATCCAGGTGCCACAGGTTGGAGAGCCGACCAAGCTCTACTGGAAGTTCCCGGATTCCAGGATTACTGTCTCCAGAGCAGGTGAGACAACACGGGTCAACAATTTATATTAAAGGCAGGATGTTCACATCTACCTATCATCTGAATGACCATGGTAGTTTGAATGACTTACGTACATTTAGTGATTATAAATTATTTAGACCCCATGGTCTAAACAGTCGGATCCATATGTTTGCAAAGCTGTTTACTGGCAAACAGCAGGAAAATGCAGACCCATGACTTCCAAACAATTCAATCATTGTGGGGAGTGTATGACAGCAGAGTAATTTGCTGCTTGTGTGAAACAGCTGCAAACAGCAGGAGCAGGAGGACTGGCTGCATTCCAAGCAGTGGTTCCAAGTGACTTAATACAGTATATTTTGGTGGTAAGCCCAAGAAGAGCTGTAATGCTTTACCACACTGTTTGTTCTTTTCAAGGATCGGTCTGACTTTAACAAATGTTACTTTTTATGACAACATAATGTTGGAAAGAAACAATTTAACCAGTGCAGTATATAATTTGAGCAGCTTTTGACTCCTGCAACTAATTTTATTGAAAACTGATGACATTGTTATTGCTTTAAACTGAAATTCATATGCAGGATGTTTAATTTCATTCGGTTTTTACACATCCACATTCAGTATGGGAAGACAAGATGTGTGACTGACTTTAGCAGTGCAATTGTTGAAAATTAGCAAAACACTGTAAATGACAAAGGGACTCACTTGGAAAGGTAAAGCTCAGTGAGGCTGTGCAGACCACACACTGACTGCGGAACACAGTCCAGCTGGTTGTCATTCAAAAGAAGTACTTCCAGTGAATCCCGCAGAATCGTGGGAAACTCTATGGGGCACACTGCCAAGACAGAGCCATGCAGAAGGTAGCAGCATGTATGCCCAATCATACACAGTAAGTACAGTTAGGTACGTTTTTTTAGAAACTAATATCAGGACTGGGTTGTGGACTTTGGCTACATTTGTGCCAGACATTTCCAAAGAAAAATAACAAGTAAGCAGCAGTTTTGACAGAACTTGATTCTTGGCAGGATAACATTTTCTCTGAAGCTTTAAGTGATATTAATACAAATACAAATAAATTACTCAAGTTTCACAATAATGAAGTATTTGACTGTACTGATCATGTGACTGAACTCTGCAATAATCACAATATGTTACTAGATCCAGAGAAGTGATATTGTCTTCAGTAGTGCAGGAATTAAGTGTGAGAGGTTAAAATGCTGCAATAGTCAATAAGAGGTGGCAGACAGACAATTTAACGGACCTGTTTGCCCTGAATTCAGTCTGTAAGGTGGGTATTCTTCCCATGCCCCCTTTACTCACGGCAAGCTCCACATATCACAAGGTTAGTTTGAGGTGTGAGGTCACTGATGGTTCAGCTCATTAGGTATGTTAGAAGTGTTTGGCTTTCATATAAAGACTAGTATTAAACTATGCCTTAAAATAGCGGTTGCATGAACAATAAGGGTTCATAAGAACATGTTTCGCTATTTGTTCATATGAAAAAGTTTGCCATTTGCTATTTGTTTAGGTTCAAATTATTTTCATGTACAGTGCCTTGCGAAAGTATTCGGCCCCCTTGAACTTTGCGACCTTTTGCCACATTTCAGGCTTCAAACATAAAGATATAAAACTGTAATTTTTTTGTGAAGAATCAACAACAAGTGGGACACAATCATGAAGTGGAACGAAATTTATTGGATATTTCAAACTTTTTTAACAAATAAAAAACTGAAAAATTGGGCGTGCAAAATTATTCAGCCCCCTTAAGTTAATACTTTGTAGCGCCACCTTTTGCTGCGATTACAGCTGTAAGTCACTTGGGGTATGTCTCTATCAGTTTTGCACATCAAGAGACTTAAATTTTGCCCATTCCTCCTTGCAAAACAGCTCGAGCTCAGTGAGGTTGGATGGAGAGCATTTGTGAACAGCAGTTTTCAGTTCTTTCCACAGATTCTCGATTGGATTCAGGTCTGGACTTTGACTTGGCCATTCTAACACCTGGATATGTTTATTTGTGAACCATTCCATTGTAGATTTTGCTTTATGTTTTGGATCATTGTCTTGTTGGAAGACAAAGCTCCGTCCCAGTCTCAGGTCTTTTGCAGACGCCATCAGGTTTCCTTCCAGAATGGTCCTGTATTTGGCTCCATCCATCTTCCCATCAAGTTTAACCATCTTCCCTGTCCCTGCTGAAGAAAAGCAGGCCCAAACAATGATGCTGCCACCACCATGTTTGACAGTGGGGATGGTGTGTTCAGGGTGATGAGCTGTGCTGCTTTTACGCCAAACATAACGTTTTGCATTGTTGCCAAAAAGTTCAATTTTGGTTGGTGGCAGCATCCTGGTTTGGGCCTGCTTTTCTTCAGCAGGGACAGGGAAGATGGTTAAAATTGATGGGAAGATGGCTGGAGCCAAATACAGGACCATTCTGGAAGGAAACCTGATGGTGTCTGCAAAAGACCTGAGACTGGGACGGAGATTTGTCTTCCCACAAGACAATGATCCAAAACATAAAGCAAAATCTACATTGGAATGGTTCACAAATAAACATATCCAGGTGTTAGAATGGCCAAGTCAAAGTCCAGACCTGAATCCAATCGAGAATCTGTGGGAAGAACTGAAAACTGCTGTTCACAAACGCTCTCTATCCAACCTCACTGAGCTCGAGCTGTTTTGCAAGGCGGAATGGGCAAAAATTTCAGTCTCTTGATGTGCAAAACTGATAGAGACATACCCCAAGTGACTTACAGCTGTAATCGCAGCAAAAGGTGGCGCTACAAAGTATTAACTTAAGGGGGCTGAATAATTTTGCACGGCCAATTTTTCAGTTTTTTATTTGTTAAAAACGTTTGAAATATCCAATAAATTTCGTTCTACTTCATGATTGTGTCCCACTTGTTGTTGATTCTTCACAAAAAATTACAGTTTTATATCTTTATGTTTGAAGCCTGAAATGTGGCAAAAGGTCGCAAAGTTCAAGGGGGCCGAATACTTTCGCAAGGCACTGTATATAATGCAGATTTACCTGGGTCTGGGTCCCTCCTGTTCCATGTAGTCAGGAAGGCCAGCCGCCTTGATTTAGGCCCCTCCTCTATTCTAAAAGACACATTTTCAAAAACAGAAGTCCACTAGCGTCAAGTATAATAGCATTAAGAAAGAATGACAAAGGCTCTTATCCACAAAGTGTGGGGACAATACACGGTATTAATTTTAGGCTTAAAATGATTCAGTTAATATAGTGCTGTAGGTAATATTTAATGCATCTTTTCAGGCAATTAGTTATATTCTCTGAGAAAGACTGTAACCAAACAGGAAGCAAGGCATTGTTCAGTAACAGCTGACTCCAGCAAACCAGAGGAAGTATGTATGTGTGTGGACCTACTTGCCCAACTGGTTCCTGGAAAGATCAAGAGTCCTGAGCTGACAGCACTTCCACTTACTGGGGGCAGGAAGCGTCACAATCTGATTCCCAGACAGTCTCAGTGAAACCAGAGCCTAATGAGAAGTGGGATACAATGCCGTAAACCACATGTTCACATGTCCCTTTCAAAGACAGTTACTCCACTGTATCACGAGCCAGGTTTCCCACGAAGTGCTGCTCCAGGCTGATAATTATTCTACAGTATTAGCACTGTCTCAAATCTAAGAGATGTTTCTAGCAGCTCTAAAGCTAACTGATCTGAAATAAAGTGTAGCCAGGTCCAGCCATGACACAAACATATTACTATTTTGAAGTAGCAGCAGCAACTTGCATAAAAAATAAAGATTATCTAGTTGTACAATTGAAACTCACTAGACTGTGGATGAATGGTTGGTTACATTAATTTTACCCTGACATTAACTTTAACTTATTTTATTTCAAACCTATGGAGTTGCACAATATACAGTATAACTTAATGGATACTTTATCAGACTAAACTGTTAAGTTAATGTCATGTCAAATGAAGGTGTAGAACCATCTCAGGGATGATCAGAAGAAATGGACAGCACCTAAGTTAAATATATGAGTGTCACAGCAAAGGGTCTGAATACTTATGACGGGTTCAAACCCCCGCCCTTCTGTACTAAAGTCAGTGGTGTTACCCACTGAGCTATCCCGTCTGCTAATAGAATGCTCCAGTAAGGGGAAGCAAGGACGACAGGTCAGGGGGGAGATATCATCATCATCATCATCATTACCACCCCCCACTCCCGGGGACTGGGGTACCAAGCCCAATAACAGGCCCGGATGAGCTTGAGTCAATGCAGCACCAAGAACAATCCCTACCTTGACCATCACTGAGACCAACAAGCTGATAAACACCACAGCAACCGTGATCCTTCAACAAAGGCCATAAGGAGCAATATCCTCCATGGAGAAGGAGATTGGAGACCAAGATCAAGGCAGCAAGGAGAGAAGTTAGCCTATCAGAATTGCAGAAAGGCGTGATCAACAAAGGGGTACCTAAGAAGTACAACTCACTGTCCATACCTGAGGCCTTGGAGACTGCCAAGCAAAGGCTCACAGCCCTGGCCACCTGGCTGAAGAGGTACACCAGAGAAATTGAAGCCAGGAGAATAAACCGAATGTTCTCCACTGAGCCATCCAAGGTGTATTCTCAGTGGCAGGGTAATAACAAGAGGGCAGGCCCACCATAGCTGGAGACTGAACAGTTCTGGAAGAGCATATGGGAGAAGGAGGCATCACACAACAACAATGCCCAGTGGCTGGTGGACCTGAGAGCAGACCACAGCAACCTCCCTGCACAAGACCCGGTAATCATCACAATGGCAGACATTCAAGAGAGGGTCTCAAGTATGAAGAGCTAGACAGCACCAGGCCCTGACATGACCCATGCCTACTGGTTAAAGAAGCTAACTTCAC